CACACTTTATCCATTCTTGAAGAATGATCAATCAATTTCAAATCAATTGTTTTAATCGAAGAATATTTTCAATTTTGGAAATTGTTAGTTTCGTAGTTCCATGCTTATCCATCATTCGATAAGTATTGTTCTGGAAATTACGAATCTTTTTCTTTTTTCATCGTCCCTTTTATTAAACTAGTTAATCATTGGGAGCCACACTCAACTTTTAATTTCACTCAATTCAATCGGTGTGAAAAATGTCCAAGATCCTAGACAACTATAACTCAACTCTGTCATTAAACATATGGAGTTACAACAGTATGTAAGGCTTACTCAGGTTACTCAATTTTGAAGTTTTCAATTTACTAATCAAAAAGAATGGAAGAGTAAAGTGCAGTTGAAATCAAAGTGAGCGAGATGAATATCATTATCAGCGATCGAACGTGCGAAACGTGTCTACAACTAAATTCGATGGTTTGAGACCACGTACACGCGCGCACACATGAACACGCGCGTGCTTATGTTGAAAGAATCGGCAGGATTTCACGGTGGAAACGCGGGCACGTGTAATTTAGCTTCGCATGGCATCGCTACAGAGGGAATTCGTCTAGTTCGTACGTTCAACAAGTATCCATCCCTCCTCCACCTTCGGCGGCTCTACTCTTCCACCCCGGTGTCTGTGCAGTTAGATCGCAAAGCGGCCTGGCTGGTTCTTTTTAACTCTGCCCCAGCCGCGGAGGACACGGCCGGCTTGTTTTTCGCCCTCAGGAGGATCGCCCTCAGGAACACGTAAAAGCGGAGCAGTTTTCCTTGGTTAGCAGGTGCGCCGTTACTTTTTTCCCTCCCCCTCCCGCCGCCAGGGCACGAGATGGGTAATAAGGGATTAGTCATCGGTGATCGTCGATCAACGTTAACGCCGGCGTTCGTTGCCCAAGTCTCCGCGCGATATGTCAAAGTTGGATATTATATTGACGTATCGACGTCTCGATGCTGTCCACGACCGGCTGGCCAATTAACGGGCTTTCTTGTTTTTCCGGGCAAACACTCGTAAATCTCGGAACGGATCTCTGTCCGCTCGATTTAGTCCTCTTTCCAACCCCTCCCCACGGGATGGCCGTCTATCTGGCCGCGCTCCGTGTCTATCGCGCCCCGAGATCTTCGCGCACGTTTCGTACGGCTAGTATCGTACAATTAATATCGTTGTTCGAGAAGGCTCGGCCCCAGCGCTCGGCAAATATTTAACATGCTACGACCATCCGAAACTTAATTGGCACGCGTTTGCTCTGGCCCGTTTGCGTTCGCTTGCTCGACGCCGCGCCGCCGTGGCGAATGATTGCGTCACACGCGCTCGCTGGCGCGACACCGCGTGCCAGAAACCTTTCCCGAGAGCGTGACGCTTCGTATTCTGAATACAGGGGATGTGGAGACGCAGAGGGTGGGGAATTCTTGACTCGCACCGGAGACGACCGGAACGGTGTGAAAGGTAGGGGAAAGCTGGGGAAAAATTGACTCTTATCAGGGCTGAGGCGAGGTTTCATCGGGAATTTGTAAAATTTTTCCGTTTCGTTCTCTGAGAGAACCTTCGATACGAGGGTCGATAACGCGCGCGAGAGAAAATTATGGAGAACTCGGTGGAACGATGACGAGGAAATTAGTAAGCTAAATGTAACGTAATCTCTGCTTGTATTGGACCAGCAATTCAAGAGCAACGTTGCTTCTTGAAGAATACAAGAAAATGTGGCTTCTTGTATTAAATTAGCATCCTTCGTTTTATTTAGTTGACTTGGTTAATATCGAATTAATTAATTCATGCTGAGATCATTTAGTTACCCTAGTTACGAGGCACAACCAAGTTTGCTACGCATGAGGGAGCTATGAATCTATAAAAGGTAATAAAGTACATGTGTATATTTAAACTTGTATCTTTTTTTTTTTAAACTTTAAAATGCAGAATTATACAAGATGCATGTATGCAAAATATCCCGAAACAATTTACAACTGATTTGTTTGTTTTAAACATATTCACGGGACTTTCTCACGCGAATGTTACTAAAATTACCAAAAGAAGAATAATTAAAAGTTTCACCTTCGCGCTAGTCAAACCTTTAACAAGTAAATCAATTATTTTAAGCATCTTGGATTATCCGTACGATCTTCTTTGTCTGAGAATTTTACATTCTTCCATCAAGATCATACATCGTTAAGGGACGACAAACGAGCGCGATCCTCTCTCTTTGGCAAACGCAAAGTTTTCAAAAAAGAAGACTTTCAGCGTACGATCCCGATCTTCAACACAGTCAGTCAACAATCACCGTCCCTGCCGATTTCCAAACCGACCCGTACTCGGCTCTCCTATCCGCGAGTGGGAAGAAAAGAAACCGAAACGTAACGTACTCGTCGTCGAACCATTGGCGAGAGATCCACCCCTATAACTCCGCAGTTCCGCTATCTCGTTACAAATCGAATTTCAGTCACGTCAAAAGTAAACGATCCGCCTAGATCCGCGCGTTAAGCGATCGGCTCGCGGGCGCGGCGTGTTTCGAGCCGGATGGAAATCTCATTTGGTAGTTTTCTCCGTTTAATAAGACGAGAGCAAGAGGGCTGGGGGGGGGGGGGGGGGGAGGAAGAGGTTGAGAGGAGCGTACCTGCCGGCGCGAAAGAGAAAGAGAAGGACAGAGAGGAGGGGGAGAGGACGGGTGGAAGAGAAGACGAGAGACAGAGGGAGTTGTAGGGAGACGGAGCCACGAGGTCGCTGCCGGTTCGCAGACTTCGGAAAGGGGAAACGGAAAGGGCGCAACAAGGCCGGGGGGTAGAGGTAGCGGAGGGCGTCCGGACGAGGGAGGAGGAAGAGGATGAGGCGGTGGTCGGGAGGGAGAGGGAGAGGGAGAGGAGAGAAAGAGAGAGAGAGAGAGAGAGCAGCTGCAGCAGCAGCAGCAGCAGCAGCATTGGGGGTGGCGGTGGATGGTTGGAAGTAAGCAGGGGTGGGTAACGGGCCGGGGGTAGGACGGGGGAGGGCGGGAGGGCGGCGGAGGGTCGGCCAGGACTGGGAGGCGAAGTGTCGTCGTCCGAATAACGGCCAAGCGGCATCGACCGATCTTCCTACCCCTAGCCTCGTACGAAGCGTCAACTTGTTTCCCTTCTGTTCCGCGAATATCGGACCTTCAATTTGCCTGGTGCGGTTCGCTTACGCGATGCACTGCCCTTTACGCGTAATCCATACACGGTCCGTCAGTTGTCCCATCGATATCGTACCCGTCCTCGTTCCCATTCCCAAGTCCCGTGCACAACGTTCCCGTTTCCGTTACCGTCCGCGCGCTCCCCTTCTTCCTTTTCCCGCCGTTCGTCTAACTTTCGAGAGAGAAAGAGAGAGAGAGAGAGAGAGAGAGAGAAAAGAGGAAAAGTTGCCTTACCAGGCGCGGATACCTGGAGTATATTTCTTCCCCTTTTCAGCCTTCTCTCTCTTTTTTTTTTTTCTGCTCGTTCGATTTCGCGACGTGTTTTAGTTTAATATGGTTAGTCGACTGAGAGACGCTTCGAGAGGCTACTTCTCGTTCCTCTTCGCCTCCCTTCCTCTTCGCCCACCCCCTTTCTCTTTGGCGACGCGTTTCAGTTTAGTCGCGTATACGACGTCACTTCAGACGACGTTTGCTCTTCTCTTTTTCTATTTCTCGCGTTTGCGACGCGTTTCAATTCGGCCGTGTGACTAGTCGGCTCCATGGACAACACCTTGACTATTTCTCCCTCTCCTCCTCTTTGTTTCTTTTTGCGACGCTTCGATTTCGTCGCATGGCCAGTCACAGCGTGGAGAGCCCGGCGTCCTTAACTTTCTTGGTAACTTGCGATTTTTCTACGTTGCCGTCCGGAACTACGAACCGTTCATTGTAACAACAGTGCAACGTTCGTCGAAAATGTACACGTTCCGCTTCTTTCCTCGATAAAAACATTCTCCATCGTGGAAATGCATTTTGCGAAAGTGATTTTTACAGAAATGATTACGGGAAGCTAGTTGACGAACATCTCGATTGTTCTTCTCTCTTTCTCTCTTTAGTTCGATCGTGTGATTAGTCACGGCAAAGAAAAGGATTCAATGTCTTTAACTTACAATTTCTTTACGTGATCATCTAGATTTCTCTGCGGATCATCTCAATTCGTAGAAACAGAATTTTGATGAAATATACGTACAGTTTTTCAGTAGAAACATTTTATGAAAATTTAAGTATTGTCAACTATGTACAACATTCATTCGTTATTTCACATTTTTCAATACGATTGTCATTGTTCAATTACGCTTGAAACTTTTAATTATTAATCTTCGTACTACCTTACGATGTTACTGCAATTTTTTTTCAACAGTATAATATTTTCAATAATACTAAATTACTGAAAGTAACGATAGTAATATTAATTACTATAATTACTATTGCAATAATAATAATAATAATAATAATATCAATTACTAGCATATGAAAGAAAGAAAGGAACACGCGTAGTATAATTAAATTTCAATAGTAATACAATTTCTCTCAGTTTCTTGCGATACTTCAGTTTCTTCTCCGCTACTATAAGCTGTTGTATTAGAATATTTTGACAAGAGCAGAACACTCGAAGATCGCGACAAAATATATCATCACAGTAGAATATATCTCCATTTACGTGGACTCCATTTATTTGAACTATAAATTCAAACGAACTCTTGCTGATTGAATCCACTCGTTTGAATCAGTGCTTCTATCACATGAACGAAAAATCACTAGCAGAGGGGAGAATCAATTACAACGAACTCCGATATACCTAAATGGAACTTTACATATTGCTCTCCAGTAGCAAACGGTCTTTTTACTACCAAAATTCATTTCCTGTAATAAGGATTAACAAAATCAATAATTAACAAAGGTCAACAATTAACAGGAAGATTATTAATTTATTGTTATAGTGTGAACTGACACGAAGAGGTTCTCGGCTACGAATAGGATTAATATCCCCCTACGTTCGATTGGCGTCGATCGAAAGACCAACGTCAAGGTACTGCCACGTACGTACGTATCTTTTGCGATATCTGATAACGGACAATCGATGGAAAGTTACGAGGACGACGACGACACTCACTTCTGCATCAAATGCCACCTGACGATACACGGCCTGGAGAATTACGTTCGACATCGTCAATCGGGATGTCGGCCACCGGACGACAAGAACGTCGCGGTACGTGTGTCGCCGACGACGCCCGCCTCGCCGACCACCGTCTTCTACCCGGAGATACTCAACGCCGACGCGTTCTTCAGTTCGTTGGAGCTGCGTAGCAGCAGCAAGTCGAACACGCGGAAGACGACCGGCCTCCTCGAGGAAAACAGGAAGTTCAAGAAGGAGGACAAACACCGGAAGAAGAGCCCGAAGAGCTCCACGCAGGTGGACAACGAGGACTCGGCGACGGTGAAGGAGAAGCTTCACAACATGCTGCCGGGCGTCGCTGAACTCGACGATCCAACGGATCATCTCTGCATGCCGTCGCTCGTCGGATTCCCGGAGATCGTCTCGTCCGCGGCCGGCAAGTCCACGGTCACCAGCAGCCGTGGCAAATTGAGCCAATCGATGGGCCACGTAGCCGCGAACATGGACGGTGGCGCGTTCGTGGTGAAGCACGAGCCGGAGAATTCTTTGGAGAGAATCCTGATGACGTCTCACGTCGAGCCGAAGCAGACGGAGAGGAAGAGGCAGGACGACACGCAGAGGATGGAGCATCACGTTCATCAGACGTGGCTGGAGGACACGATACTGGCCGAGCTGGTGGCGAACAACGAGAACAAGGACCTGGCCAGATACGAGTTCGAGTATCAACAGGACGACGACTCGGATGACGATATGTTGGAGGAAGATCTTGGGGAGGACGACGAGGGTGGATCGTACTCGGAGTCGGACGACGGGGAGGACCGGGAACGTCCGCCGCGTGGTCACATCGGTGGCAAATGGAAGCCAGAATTGGACGATCTTCCGCAAAATATGTCTCAACTTCAGGACGACGACGTGGAGCCGGAGGACGAGCATCAAGAACATCCGCCGCCGACCTACACCGGGGGCAAGTGGCGACCCTCGGACGCGTCGCAGGTACGTAATCGTCGAAATTGTTTCGTCAGACGATTCTCGTGCATTAACGCCGCTTTCTGGCTTTTCACTCGACTTCGGCCCTTTCGACTCGACTCTTTTCTGCTTGAGGCTTCGAGTCTAGGTACATATTTTCTATTCTGCGAAATATGTACAAGTTTGGCAAATTGACTATTGACAGTGATTTTCTATTCTGCAGTATTCTTGTAGACTTGTTTTCAAGAGAGGAAAATATTTGGATTCAACTTTTAGACTAAGTAACTAAGAAATCTAAATGCGAAAATTTTTCTACAACAAACATTTCGTGAAATGTTCGTTTTATTCTACTGTGTATCTAGTATTTGAAATGATATCAATTGAAAGTTGTAGATTGTCGAAACTACTCTACAAACGTCGTTTCTTTTAAATTTCCCTTCGAATTTATCATCATCGTTTATCGCCATTTCCTGACAATTCAATATTAATCGACTACTCGTGTTACGAAATTTCAAAAATACAAACACTGTACGTACCTGCTCAAACTTTCACGTAAAAAAGCTTCTCAATATGAAAAAAACTTGGTCTCCAAAGGGTTGAGAGACAAAAAGAAATCTTTCGTTTTTGTTTCTTTTTCTCTTTTTGTTATTTTCTTTCTCTTTTTCAAATCTCTGCTCCGGCATTTGGTAGAAAGCGGAAGAGTACGAGACTAAGAGCAACGTCGGTCAACCATCGCCAGGACACACGCGAGGGAAATGGGTACCGGGTGCACAAACGGATATCGAATCAGGATATTGGTGCAGTCCTTGCGGCAGGAAACTTGCCTCTCGATTGGTCTACAACAGGCATCTTCTCTCTGATTTGCACGCCAGAAGGAGCATTCGAGAAATCGATGACGTTCTTTCTCTGCCGCGTGCCGCGAGTTTACACGCGGCGAAAAAGTCATCGTCTCGATATCAGGTAGCCATCTTCGATTTTATTGTTTTGTTTCGTTCGTTCCTTGGATCGGCGAGCTTCTCTTTTTCTATCTTTCTTATTGTTAGTTACTACGAAGAGACAAACTAAAATGGATTAACGACTCTACATAGTCGAACTTTGATGAAAGAGTGATTAATACATATACTCGTTACTAATTACAATTAATTTTTAACACAGTAATATTATCAACTTCTAATTCACCAAGTTTCTAAAAATATTAAATAGTTTATATTAAATACTAGCCTAATACGAAGGTTACTAATTCCACAGAATTAGGATTAGAATTGACTCTGATTTATTTGGAAAATTTAATTAGGATATTTCTATTACTAATAACTTTATTATACCCATTACCACTCATTAACTCTCCAATTACTAAATTTCTATGACCATTGACAAAGAGCAACTTAAATTTCCTTTTTGTCCGTCATTTTTCACAGACCAGTTTCAGTTTAACTTTATTTATCGAAAGATAAAGGACTGACGGATATGTGTGCTCGGTTGTGACAGAGAATCAAGCAAGCAGGGGAAACGAGAGGCGCGAAGAAAAGCTTACGAAAACGAGAAAAGGAAATACTCAGCTGCGAGATGTGCCATGCCCGAGTGAGAAGGACACAAATGGGCAAGCATTTGCTCTCTCATTATCACTGCCGCGTGGCGGGTGTAAATCCTCGCGGGCCACGGGCGCGTCGCTTTTTACTGGAAAATATGGCGAATGTGGTTCGGCAGTGCCCTTTTCAGTGTTTCTCTTGTCGCTTTTATTGCAACACGGAGGAAACGTTTCTGCGTCATTGGCGATCCGATCTTCATGCAAAAACCCTCGAGCAGGTAGATATATATATATATATATATATATACAACGTATTCTTTTTATCATGACGTTGATTTACAGCCACGTGGTAGAAACCTTCGTTTCTACGAGCTACTCGCCCAGAATTCTACAGCGAATTTAATATTCAGCAACGATCTTAAATCATAATTAATACAACAGTCGACGACGAGTGTGGTTTACGAGTGATCGCGGTGTATACGACAATATGTACGCAGGATCTCTTGTCAACACGGAGAAACTTGTCGATTTATTTTTGCACGACCAATGGGCAACAACTCGGCCGTTTTTCTGCGCTGGCAAAAAGTTCTCTAGCACGATTCTTGTTTCGAGAATGTTCTGTTGTTGGCAAGCTCGTCGCAGATCTGTTTTGATTGCTCTTTGACGCCTTGACAAATTGAGGTTCTTAGAGTTTCACGTAGCTGTAGAAATTGGAATTTAGGCAGCATTTATTTAACTTATTGCGCAAGTACTCTCCACTCTGACTATCTTCTAAGTATGTATATATTCTTGCAATCTTCAATTTCCCATAAATACGTAAACATCTGCAGTCTGCTCGTGTTTGAAATAAATCCAACAAAGATTTCTCTCGAAGGAAACGTCACAAATAAATCTAATAAATTTCTCTCTCGAGAAATATCTACGTTCTCCATATATATTATAACAAATGTACAATGCTTTCGTGCCTCTTTGAATTCTCATTTGCAGATCGGCGGCAGCTACAGATGCACCCCCTGCGACTTTTGGTGCGAGGACAACGAGACGATGGACTCGCACCTGCTCGAGCGGAGCCACCGCGACGTCGTCTCGATGATGAATGGCTCGGTGCCGATCATGATCGGTCGTCAGCGAGCCCTGCCCTGCGGCAGCTGCGATCGCCGATTCCGCTACAATTTGCAACTTCGGCTGCACGTGAAGGAGACCGGCCACGAGGAGAGCCTGACCGCGACCGACGAGTATCAACAGCGAATCAAATGCAATCTGTGCCCGCAAATTGTCCGATCGTTGGTGGCACTTCAGCGTCACCAGCTGTCCGCCCATGTCGCGAAAGGGATCGCGAAGAAATACGAGGGGACGAACGCGGGGCAGCAGCCTTCGCGATCAGCCCCGGCGCCTTATTTCTGCTCGTTTTGCTCCATGAACTTCGCCACGGCCCAGGACGCTGTTTTGCACCGGAGAACGTCCAGCCACAAAGAGATGGTCAAAGCTCGGAAGAGCAACGACAGCTCGGCGATGTCGACGAGACGCGAGTGCCCTCACTGCAAGCAGAAACAGGCGAATCTGTCCGAGCACAAGAAACATCTTCTCGACCGGCATCCCGAGCTCTGTCACAGGTAACTTCGTCGCGCGTTTTTTTTTTTTTCTTTTTCCTTTTTTTCTTTTCAATCGCGCCATTTCTCGCGTCGGGCATTTGCACAATCGTGCAACTGTGTAACGATACTGGAATTGCGATGAATTTTGCTTCGGTGATGTTTCAATTTAGACGAAAGTTGCACGCTGCACGTTCGTTGTGCTCCATTCGAACGTGTAATTTCGCCTGACGTTAAGTTCAACATGATCTTTCTCGGATAGTGACCTTTCATTTATACATGTTTTCTTATTCGTAACAAACAGCATTCTGTTTTATAAGTAATCGTAAACTCACCTTACGTGTTAACGGGTTAACGTTTCACTCATTATTCGCGAAATAATAAAATTTATCCGTCACTTATTGTTTACGAGTTAACTCAAATGGAAGATTATTCGCGAACGAACGAGGATTTATCTCGAAGAGAGTAGTTATACTGCTCAAGCGAAAAATAGAAATTTACCAGTTTGCCAATCGATATTTCCAGATGTCCGAAATGCGGGACATTGTTCGCCCTCTCGCAAGACGTGACGAGACACACGAGAGAGAACAAATGCCACGGCGCAGCCGGCGAATTAACCAAAAGGAGAACGTCGAACCCGAAAGACGAATGGAAATGCGGCAGCTGTAGCTTCTCGAGCAACTCTCAGGCGGAATTTATCTTTCACGAGGCTCTTCACGCGGGTGCCGTGCGGAACGACAACGAGGAGGACGGGAACTCTGGCAAATCGCTGGCCAAGTATTCCTGCCCCATTTGCAAGAAGGCGTTCGCGAAAGTGTCATTACGGAATCACATCAGGAGTCATACCGGGGAACGACCGTTCCCCTGTGCCAAGTGTCTCGTGGCCTTCTCGAGAAGATCGGACCTAAACGCCCATCAGAAAGAGTGCACCGGCTCGGCGTCGTCGTCCTCGTCGTCGTCAGGCTGGACGAACGAATCTGGAAGGAAACGGTGCTTCTCTTGCTCCGAGTGCAACAGCGCTTTCTACACGAAGTGAGTACCGTTTTATCCGTTTTATCTTTATTTTTTAGTTACTTTTTTTCTTTTTTTTCTCTCTCTCTTTTTAAAACTTGACCTGTACCTTGGTATCAAGTCGCGACAGAGTCAACCGTGAAAAATTAATATCCATAACGAAAAGATTTTTAGTTTAGAATTACAGAATTGTAGATTAAATTTTTTTTTTTTTTTCTATGGCTGTGTATCGTGATCCTGACATTTTATAGGAAAATGGATATATATTATGAAATTCATATCTTTAGAAAATGCAGTCTAGATAAACTATCGGCGTATATTCATTCGTATAATTTCGTAAAAATCCACGGTTTAATTCTGAGACACGTAAATATTTAATTTGATCGTTAAAAACCTGTCAGCCTTTGATATATTTTTCCTTATGATCCATAATATATATATATATGTCTGTAATACGTGTCTCAGAATTAAACCGTGGATATTTATGCAATTGTGAGAAACTTGAAATTAATACGAAATTATACGAATGAATATATTTATGACGATATTTAACAAATAAAACGATAGTTTATCTAGGCTGCATTTTCTAAACATATGAATTTTTGCATAAAAATCATAAACTTCATTAATAACAATAAATCGTTCGAAAACTTTCAAGTATTACAGTAGAGAGCAATAACTAAAAGCTAACGGATCGTAGATCAAATGTTAGTACCTGAGTTATTAAAGAATTTAGAAATAATTTAGCAGACTATTACAAATTGCTTTCGGGTCATTTTTCAATCAAAGACTTCTATGGAATTAATAATTAATGAAGACAAAGTTGATTCTGACCTGGTCAATTTTAATCGATACGAGGCCATGGAAAAATAATAAATCTGAGAATGGAGAGATTATTATTTTTACGATAGAAAACCAGTTTGCACTCGTTCGATAATTATAGAGCCAACGTAATTGAATGTTTTATCATAGAAAAGTTGAACAGTAGGGACACTGGTTACGCAAAATTGGTATCGCGATATACCGTATCTCGCGAGAATCGCCATATGAATGCCTTTATCAATGTACGTGTGTGTGTGTATATGTATGCGCACCCCCATAAATATTAGAACACCTGGTCTCGTACGTGATAATTGATCCAGGCTGTTATTTAATAATTAATCGGCTAGAATTTTCCATTTGTACAAGAGAGCGATCTAAAATACATGACGGGGAATCGTGAAAACTGTTTGAAAGAATTTCAGAGGAAAATAATGAATTTTGTAAATTCATCGTATCGCAGCTCGTCGAATAGACTTCGTAACAGAACGATGTGATTAAGAGATGTAATGAATCTATATTTGATTAGAGAGAATTGTTTATATGTTTACACGATAAATTTGAATATATCTACGTGAGGAAATAAATGAAATATCCAAAGTAAATGTTACTTGATACAATATTTAATAAGTGAAACAGTTCTCAGGCATACGATCGAGATACACTTCGCAATTCGGAATTATACGAATAAATGTGAAGCTATAATGTATTAGTTTACTATATAGAAGGATTTTTCTAAAGATCGGAAATTTTTGAAATTCGTCTCTATTATAAAAACATATCAGCAGAAACTCGCATTTGTTGTCTAATTTTGCTTGAAACGAAATTTAACGTGTATTTTATTTCTATCAAAACTATTAATTTTGTAATAAATTTTAATTTTAATTTTATCAATATTCGAGTATCACAGTGATCGAGAGATTATTGCTCGAGACAACAGCGTTATCTAAATTAATTATTGATTTAATTCGGTCAATACACTATACAGTGTAACGTGTTATTACTCATTAAAAAATATCAACAGCAAAAATTAATTAAACAGCAAAGGTATCAAAAATCTGAGTTTGCGCTATAAAATTACCATAAAATTACAATTCCAACTAAGAAATATTTTCGGGAAACTTAAATTTCCAAAAATCTGCGAACGAAACACAAAGCAAGGCTACACGAAGTATCCAAATTAAAAGAAATATTCGATGTAATGCCTATTTTAACGAATGAAACAAATCTCTGCTGTTTCCTCGTTTGCACAGCTTTCGCAAAAATACCAAAAAGAGGCGAAAGAAAAAAAGAAAAAAAAATAGAAAGAAATGGGAACACGTTTTGTCATACTTGGGCGAATTGCCGCTTGTCGGCCGAGTGTCGGCACCGCTCGACAGCGAAGAAGCTGTCTCCGTCCCGGATGAGAATTATCGGCCGATTAATAATCTTTAAACGATCGGTTCGAAAATGGCGCGTAAAAGTAATTGCCCGGGCACGTTGTTCGTGTACGAGAGGCCGGCGCTCGATGTTTCGCATGACGTATAGCGAACGTTGTATCCGTGACAACAATGGGCTTAACGTAGAAAACTTGCCGCATTATCCAGGCTAACAAAAGGATCGCATTTATCACGGGGATTTCCAGTTAGGTACAATTATATCGCATCGATCGTAGATCGGTAAGGTCGCCTTACCGAACGGAAACCGTGACCGCGTTCGATGCAAAACCGCGCGCGCCGCCGTATACACCTCTCGGCGTACACCTTTCACCGGGCTATTTATCTTTCCTCCAGTTACCTTTGCGAGTGCGTTAACATCGACGCCGGTGTAATATCGTAAATATTCCCGGCTACGCCCCAAAACTGGGCATCGTTCGCTGCTCACTCGAAAGTCTGCTCAGTCGTCGGGCGAATCGAAATACGGAAGGCTGTTTACCGCTGATATCGCGTACGTATGTAAATATGTTAGATAGTAGCCGCGACAACGCGTTAGATCTCGTATCTGTCGCACGTGGTGAGCGGTTCGGCCTGTTGCGAACCAAGTATGGATCAAACTGTAACATACGGTGGTCCCTTGGGCAACGTTAAGTCGTATTTTGATCGATCACGTTTGAAAGAAATTTAAAAATGTACTCTGCCTAGTGAGATACTTGTTGCAAACATATGTTTAGAAATTAGCAAAGGCAATTAGGTATGCGATAATTATCTCACTGATCGTGTCTCAATGAACTGTGACTGTGATACGAAATCACAGTGTGCTCTTGCGTTAAATATCTCGTAATTTCTGTAGATATATTCGATGTTAAAATATTTCACACGTTGTGAATACACACACACACACACACACACACATACTGTGTATTCATCGAAGATCCGTCACCGTCACCCGACACAGAATTGAAAGTGACCAGGACAAACTTGCTCGCGTCTCGTAATTGAAATGCTAATAGTCCTGGAGAGGCAGGAGACGCGAATGTGATCCCGACTTCTGTTTTCCGAGTAAAAGGAAAGCTGGCTGCTTTCGTTCGGGGATAAAAAGTGCAGGACAATAAAAGCCGGCTCGCGGCGCTGAAACCACGAAACGTTCGCGGTACGCTCGCAGTAAAAGTGTCCTCGCTGCATAACTATAAAATAAAAGACCGTGGTCCACGGACAAGGGTAGCGACAGAGAGAGAGAGAGAGAGAGAGATGGGGGGGGAGGGGTTGAAGAAAGTACGGAGATGGAACGGAAAACTCCGCGGCGGGGGATGATGGGAGAAAACAGGGGGGTAAACGGCGGAGCGAGAAAGGAACTCGGCTAGCTCTCTGCCACCTCTCCCGGTTCGTATTAACATCTCATAGTGGCCTGTAAGCCCACGGGTCATTCTAGCATTTAATGGGCTTGCATTATGGCCGGTGCAAGTATGCGTCCTACCGGCGTTCGCCAGGTACTAACCTACGTAACTAGAAACTTGCTCTCGCTAATGCTTCGTTACACTAGCGAAATTACTAGCGCGGATTAACGCCCCGTGGGTCCTATTAAAAATGCGATCGAATCCAATCCCGCTAATGCCAATTTACGCTGCGGAGGCCGCGCGACCTCCAAGGACTCGCGGCAACGACGTGGACGAATCGTCGTTGCGTTTGCTGGATGCTCGAGATATTGTTACGTATCGTTGGTATTGTTGGTATCGTTGGTAAGTACGTGGACACTTGCCATTTTCTTGTGGAATTCTGTAACCTGTATACGTTCTCCGTCTAGATTGATCCAAGTTCTTTTAGCTCTTTTAGATGTACATGTACGTATATATGTTTCAGAAAGTGTTCGAACACTTGGAGGAAGTTTTTATGATCATTTTACGCGTGTAGAATATTTCAATTCGCTGTTGTATTATATAATGTTGCACTGACCAGGTGCAATCTAAAAATGTATATAGAAATTACGAGATATTTCGATAGCATTACTAGGAGCATTATGTGTGTCATGCAAAACGTTTCAAAATTTTTTGAAACGCTGTAATAGTAAACTAGATCATCGCGATTATATTGAAATATTTCGAAAGCCGCAATCCATTATAATAAAATAAAACTTATCAGGTACATATTTGATTTCGTCATGCAAGTGTAATAAATATTCAAAGAAGAAATTATTCACTCGTGACAAAGATCAAGAAGATAAAAGAATTTAAAATTATTATTAAATTATTCCTTTTCTTTTTTTCTTCCTTTTTATCACAATAAATCGCAATATCCTGTAACTTCTATGCACATTTGTACACACACACACGCGCGCGTACAATCGTAATGATTCCTCGGGATGAAAAACGAAGCAGCTTCAATCCGAGAATGAAGTTCCAAAGTGAATTTCTGAAAAGAAGGTGAACGAGAGTGACGTTTCAATTTCAAAACGTTTTACATCGGGTAGCACAGGTGTTCGAAAGCGAATCTTCGCGGGCGAGCAAACACACAATTGCAAGTAATTTTTCCAATCGCTTATGTAAGAATACCACGGGGCGTTCGTGAGGTTCCCCGCAACTAGACACCGCGCCACGTTCTCCGTGCCGACGACATTTCTCTCGCGTGTCGACCGTGCACACGTCGTCGATGCAGGTATTAAACCATTGGCCCGAGCGTAGAACGATCGCTATAAAGCAAATGTTAACACGTATGCTCGCTCGTTCATCCGGCTCCATTTCCTCGGTCCCTTTTTCGCTCTCTCCCTCCTCCCTCTCCTCCTTTCATCCC